AAAAAAAAAAAAAAAAACCACTAGAAAACCAGAAGTGGCGCATTGGCTTCAGCGGTAGAGTGCTCGCCTTGCGCTGAAGAGCATGGGGACAGTGCCCAAGCCGAGTTCAAGCCCCCATGACCGACCAAAAAATAAATAAAAAGGGAAAAAAAAGAAAATCTTTCCTGGCAACCTCACTCAGGCAGCCTCCTACCGCCACTTATTGGTCCCTCGCTGAGGTTGCTGGGATTTGGCTTCTGATAGCATCTCTACCCCCAGCCAGACCCCAAGCTTCTCCCTTTCTTCTCAGATCCACTTTTTCCTCCTCAGATCATCTTTTCCTCCATTGGCTAAGGGAGTCTTGCTCCCTAAAGATTACATTTTTACCCACCCAGGCCCCCATCTAGTCCCTCCCACCTGGCTACTCACTCGTGTTATAGAAGTTGGAGTATCGAGTCAAAGTGCCCCTCAGGGAGGGGGGCAGGCAGGTTTGGGGGTCCAGAGTGTGACAGATGGAGTCAACAGGCCAATAGCGCGGGGACAGGACAATGACAGACACTTTTGGCATTGCTCCTTCAGAGTAGAGGTCCGCCTCCCCTTCCTCCTCTTCTTCCTCCTCTTGTTCTTCTTCTTCCTCCTCCTCTCCTTGTGTCATGGCTATGGCTGCTGCTAATCCAGCATCCTCTTCCTTCTGGCTTTCACGTTCCTGTCCACTGGCCTCATTGCCCACCTAAAGAGGTACAAAGTCCCCTGATAGCCAGGGCCACCTTGGGCCCATGCTACACATGCTTTTCTCCCTCCCTACTATTCCTGGTACCCACCTGGCTTTTCTTCTCTGTATCTTCCAGCTTCAGGAGTTCCTGATCGACCTGCTGGAGCTGGTAGACATCGAACTGGCGCTGCAGCTCCTCCGAGGTGCTCAGGCTCTGCAGCATCTGCTGGGGGAGGCGGTTGGGGAAGCAGAGGCCGATCTGCTCCAGCACGGCCCCCTCCAGCCAGTTGAAGCCCATGTTCAGGAGCCGGTCTGCCATGTAGTGCCTGCAGGACATACAGCCCCGACGGGTCTCAGGGTGAGTACAAGTACAGCCCATCCTCTCCCTCCAGAGCTCCCATCTTACCTGTATCTCAGACTCTGGGGATCCATCAGCTGACCCTGCCCCCTCCTCCCCCAAACTCTCTTGGGTCACACTCACTGGTAGTAATGTTCAAAAGTGGTGGCTATCTCTAGACCGGAGAAAACGAGGACAGTTTCCAGGCATCGTTGCAATTGTGCCAGCATCTCCATTCCCCGGGCTCCACCAATCCGGCTGCCTTGAATTCGTTGGTCAATGTTCCGAGCAAACTGCTCACTCACCTGGGTGTTTCCAGAGCAGAGGAAAACCATGAGCCTGGCATGGTAATGCATGCCTTCTAAGATCCTAGCATTTAGGAGGCTGAGGCAGGAGGATTTTGAGTTCAAGGCCACTATCAACTATAACTATAACCGCCACAGGTGAATAGCCAGTGGGAACAGTGAGAAAGCTGTCCACCTGGTCAATGCTTTTTTTGGTACTAGGGTTTGAACTCGGGCTTTAGTGCTTACTGGCCAGGTAATTTACCACTAGAACCATGCCTCCAGCCTATGGTCAATCTCTCATTTTTGTTCTGAGGATCCAATCCAGAGCCTGGTACATGCTCTAAAACTGAGCTATAACCCTAGCCTGACCAATATCTGCATTATGCTATTTTATCAAATCGTAAAAATTGCATTGGCCCTGGTAACTCACACGTCATCCTAGCTACTCAGGGGGCTGAGATCTGAGGATCACGGCTCAAAGCCAGCCCAGGCAGGAAAGTCTATGAGACTCTTATCTTCTATTAACCACAGCAAAACCAGAAGTGGCACTGTGGCTCAAGTGGTAGAATGCTTACCTTGAGCTGAAGAGCTCAGGGACAAGTGCCCAGGCCCAGAGTTCAAACCCCATGACCGACAAAAAAAGAAAAAAAATAGATGCTATCCCTTAGGATGACATGCTGTAGGTTACAATTTTTTTCTAATATTCAGTAACATGGTTCTAGACAATGACATCTGAATCACTGACGAGTAGTGAAGGTGGGCCATTTGGGAAAGACAAGGAGGGGAGAGGCCCAGGTATCTGGTTTGAGGGACGGGCACTTACGTGGGCAGCTCTGAGAAAAGGGAGCTTTAGCAGAGCACCAGCACAGCCATTCTGCAGCGCCAGCAAGAAGGCTGCTCGTGGGCCAAACAACTCAGAGCTGGACTTCTGGAGGTTATAAAAGCGCTCGCAATAGCGTGGCACAAAGTCATCGTCCCGCCAGTGTGAGGTCAGAAAGTTGTTCACCTGAAAGGAAGGAGCATAAGTGTGAAGAGGCACTCAACAAGCCACCACAGAGCCCCCAACCCCATGCCTGCTCCCGCCCACCTTCTCCTCTACCACAGCCTGCCAACAGCGGGTCAGGTTTCTCATGATGCTGCTGGGCAGGCCCCGAGTAGCCAAAGAGCTCCAATCATGGCTTCTGTTTCTACCCTCTGTGGAGGTAAAGAGGCAGAAAAAGAAGGTCAGCCTTAAGTCAGGTTCCAGCTCACACCTGCAATCCTAGCTACTCAGGAGGCTGAGATTTGAGGATTGTGGTTTGAAACCAGCCAGGGCAAGAAAATCTGAGACTCTTATCTCCAATTAACCACCAAAAAGCTAGAAATGGAAGTGTGACTCTAAGGGAAGAGTGTCAGCCTTGAGCAGTACAGACAGGGGACAGTGCTCAGGCCCTGAGTTCAAGTGCCAGCAGCAGCACCAAAAAAGTATCTCAGCCTTTCTGATATACTGCTATCCCCTCCTACATGTGGATGAGATGATAAACTGGAAGTGTGTGATAAACTGCTTTGTGTGAGTGAGAATCCAGGGAAATGCTCCTAAGCAGAGCTCCTGCGGAGGACCCCGAGTACTTACTGGGCCGAGGGGTGGCCACCACCGGGGGCGCTGTCTCACAGGGCTCCACGTGCACCAGCAGGTGGGTGAGGCGCCGCACCTTAGAAGAGAAAGCTGCTGCCCGGCTCTGGGGGTTGTGAGCAGTCTCCCGACATTCCACATACTGGTCCAAGAGCCAGCCCAGGGGGCTAGCTCCATGCTCATCTGGTGGGTGAGGAAAATAAGCCGTGTCATCTCTTTAGAGAAGCGAAGGGGTTGGATTCATCTGTTTCAGAGAAAGAACACCTAGACTTAATGACATGGGGGAGGAGGGAGCCCTCGGCGAGAAGACAGGGGAACTGGGGTGACCAAAGAGCCAAGAGCGTAACTCAGATGTTTCTGAAGGTTTCATTAGTGAGCAGGTGGCAGGTGGTTACCAGGAGAGGTGATGTTCTGCACCAGGGGGCTGACCAGGGCCTCCCAGCAGGTCTTGCCCAGTGCCTGGGCGGCTTCATCATCAGGGAGGAAAAGATCAGCGAAGGTCTGCTCCTGGCGCAGAGCCCCATTGAGTCTGAGCCAAAGGAATGAAGGAGCAAGGTGTCAAGACTCAAGGATTAAGTTGCTCAGTGCCCACACCTAGCCGGTTTGCCCCCGAGCACACAGCATTTCACAAGTGCTCTGGGCTGACTGCTTTACTCATTCCCAGCATGCGGGGAGGTTTCTTTTTCCTTCCTATCCCCACGCCAATTAAAGCCCCATCCACTTCCTCCTGAGAGCTCTACCCCAGCCATTTGTGACAACTTGGCCTACCATACAGGTTGGCACACGGGGTTTCACACACCTGGTGCTCAGGTGCAGGAGGCTTCTGCGGTCCTCTGCTATGTCCTGGCTCCATGCCTGTGCCCGAACCATGTAGAAGAGGCGTGTGTGACGACATAGCTGCTCCCGGAACACTGGCCAGAAAATGGGCTTAGGGCCCAGGATCTCCAAACCCCGAATGCGTGTGTCAATGCCACCCTGTAAAACACACACACACACACACACACACACACACACACACACACACACACACACACA